CATTAAAGCCACTAGAGTATATTTGGTGCCAAGCACTCATGTCAATCTAGTTATTTGAGATCTGTAAAGCATCTACTCAATATTCAGTTGCAGCAGTAAAGAGGATCCACTCAGGATAATGAGATTTTCAATCTAAACAAGTATGTTATTTATAAGTAGTACGTCTGCTTGCACTCGTCCGTGAAGTTCAGAAGGCCGCAGGGTGTCCCATTTGCAACCTTTCGCCGTTAATACAGACTTTTCTAGGGATGGGTAAAAATATTGATTTTCTCAATCTCAATACTGATTCTTAAAGTCACAGTTCACCTGAAAACGAAAATTCTGTGATCATTCACTCACCCTCATGTCTTTCCAAACCTGAATGGCTTTTTTCTGTAGAACAGATTGAACAGATAATACTTTTCTGTTCTGTAGAAGGTTTCGAATGACATGAGGGTGAGTAAATGATCACAGAATCTTCATTTTTGAATATTAGCGTTTACGTTTTTCAACCAGTATAGCCTGATTCCCCAAAAATGACTCTTAAGTTAAAAAAGATGAGTTATCCATTTGAATTGTTTAGAAACACTGAGATTTTTTCATGTAACCAAACTGACATTACAAAAGAAATCAGAACTCAATCTAAATTAATCAAAATCTGAACCAATTTGAATTGAGAGTTTGTGAATGCCAGATATGAAGGTCAACTGTTTATATACATTTGTTTGTGTGTGTTTATCAGCCCATAGGATTGACCACAGAATATTCATTGTTTGATGAGTGACATATACCATATGGCACTCCACTAATCACAATGACACGAGAGGGGGACGATTAACCTGTGGCACCGCGAATACTTTCCACATATCATACATGTTAAACAAGTAGCTATCTCATCCGAGACCGATAGTCCCGTTCTCACTCACTCATTTTCGCTTGCTTTCTTCTATCCACACATCCGTGCTCAAATATCTAGCCTTTTTTCTCTAATCTATTGCTGAATGTCCTTTGCCAATGTTTCTGAAATATAGACTTGCTTCCCACAAACACCAATATGTTTTTAATGTAGCGAGCCATATATCTTGTCTCTTCAAGAAAATCTCACGGAGTGTTTTCCATGGGAAACTTGCAGAGAGCTCTTATATGCATTTTTCTCCCCTCCTTCACCTTCATCCGTCTTTTGAGGCGTTTGCCAAGCCAGCACAGCTTGAAGTCCTGGCAGGCCATTGTTTGTCTGTTATGTTAATGCTTCTGGGCAGACATTCTTTTGGAAGGGGTGAATGAGTGATATCTGAGGCGTTGGGAGATGTACCGTTGCCTCCCCACTGAATGATGGGACAACTGCTCCACGGCTGGCCCGAGAGCTGTAACCTGAGGAGGAGATCCTCCATCTGTGCCACTGTGAAAGGCCTGGAGGGCTCGAGGCTTAGCTGACCTACACCCCTGGGAGTCACGTCAGTCATTGCCTCGAGCACCCTCTATGGGAAGTTGTAAGGAGGTGCGCTTAAAGGGGTAGTTCACCCCCAAATTACTCACCCTCATGTCATTCCAAACCTGTATGACTTTCTTTCTTCTAAGCACAAAAGAAGATATTTTGAAGAATGTTTTTGTCCATACAATGAAAGTCGATGGGGTCCAAAACAAAATCGACAACATATATTCTTTTGTGTTCCATAGAAGAGGTTTGAAATGTTGGAGCAGTTGAATTGTCATTTTGGTGAGTTCTCCCATTAATAACAATAATGCTGTTTTGTCCAGAGGCTTGTCTATGTCCGCTTTATATTTTTGCCCATTTCTTCCATTCTTTGGAAAATCAATGCCAGCTCCTCAGAGTTCTTTTGATTTAATTGGCTTCCGTTGGAAATTCTTGAGTGAAGAGCCTCCTTCATTTTTCATTCCATTGTTAAGTCTGAGGAGTCTGACCTTGGGATGAACCAACTTTAATCATGAACTCCATGAGCCCATTGCCTCCCGGTGTCCTGCCTTTCTTTAGACTCTGGTCTGCCCCGGTCATCACCCATAACACTCTGTTTGAACACGTAGAGAAAGAGAGCGATGGAGAGAATCGACTGAATAGGAGGATTATCGTTATGGGAGGTCTTTGTTGTAGAACTTGTTCTGATGCAGCCATGTGCCATGTTTGTGTTAGTAGCGTTGATAGAAATAGCTAATGAGCTTCTTTTTTAATCCTAATGATGAATTGGCACAGCATTGTGTGGTTTATTGACCAGCTGGCCCATCGCTCTTCAAGCGCGTGAAAGAAAGCCCAACATTGATGAGCTGTTTGTCTGTTATTGGGTTTAATGGGGTCAAATCTCTTTATAACCCACTGGAGCTCATCTGATACACATTGAAAATGAATTGCTGAGGTGGCATTTGATTTAGAGGCCACGTAAGAATATTATAAACTGACACAATGTGACTCAATCCTCTCACTCATTGATTTTTCTGACACGGACATAGAAAAGCACTCTGTTGCACTTAGGTGTTGTTGTCCAGAGAGCTAATATGTTGTTGTCTGGTCCTCTAACTTTGTGACCCAGGGGAAATAGTTATTTAGTATCCTCTAGCAAAGATATTTCATATGATAGACAGGTGAAAGGGCATTAGCCTTGACTCAAACCAGATTTCACCGTGTATTTATGTGGTTGGCAGGTGCTTTTATCCAAAGTAACTTGCATTGCATTGAAGATTTACTTTTTTTTTATCAGTTCACGCATTCCAATGAAATGAACCTATGACCTTTACATTGATAGAGCCATGACTCTATTCTGTGACTAATTTAGAGCTTAGTTTAAGATGATCAATGAAAAAATGGTAACACTATACCAGGGGTAGGCAAGTTCGGTCCTAGAGAGCCGCAGTCCCACAGAGTTCAGCTCCAACCCTGAAAACAAAACTCACCTGCCTATAGCCTTAGTAATCCTGAAGACATTGATTAGCTTGTTCAGGTGTGTTTGATTAGGGTTGGAGCTGAACTCTGCAGGACTGCGGCTCTCTAGGACCGAACTTGCCTACCCCTGCACTATACAGTAAGGGCCAATTTGTTAACAATAGTTAATGCATTGGGTATCATGAACTAACAATAAAGAATAATGTTACAGCAGATAATGTTGAATTATAAATATGCTGTTTATGTTGTTTATTGTCAAATCATGTTTGTTCATAATACTTTAAATAATATAAAATTACACTGCAGTCCAAAGGTTTCGGAAATTACAGCAAGGATGCATTTAATTTATCAAAAATTATATTTGTAATGTTACAAAAGATTAGTATTTATTTTTAAAAACTGTTCTTTTGAACTTTCTAGTTTCTATTCATCAAAGAATCCTGCAAAAATGTATCATTGTTTCTGCAAAATTATTAAGCAGCAAAACTGTTTTCAACACTGATCAAAATAAGTAATGTCTTGAGCACCAAATATGTATATTATTGGAGGATCATGTGACACTGAAGACTAGAGGACTGGCTGCTGAAAATTCAAATTTGCCATCACAGGAATAAATTACATTTTAAAATACTGTAAAATAGAAAACAGTTATTTTTGTAAGAGACTTTTGTCAAAAACAATAAATCTCATAAATTTTAAATGGTCATGCATACCCTGAAATGTTGAATATTTGCAAGTATATGTAAAATTTAAATTAACTTACATTAATAAATGCTAGTTTATTAACCTTATTTAAATGTGTGTTTCATGTTTTGTAATGTTTCCATGATCCTATGCTCTGGACACCAGTTTTGGGAAACTGTATAACCCTGTTGATTTTTGTCAGCACTAGACTGAATCATTCCACTTTAAAAGATGACAGGAAACACAGGAAGCCAATAAATTTAATCAGGAAATAGCTTTGTTTTTGCCAGTACCCAATGACAAAGTAAAAAGACATGTTTGCATGTTACACACTTTCAAATGCCAGATTTTGAGCTGGAAACATTTGGACTGCGCGATCGCTCAGGTAGTATGTTTTTCACAGCTGAGATTTTGCTTTCCATTCAAATGATGTCGCTCCCAAGAGTAGTAAAAAATAGTTGTTCAAAATAGCCCTAAAGTGTTTGCAGATTTTGAGCAGCATCTATACACATCCACACACTCTGCCAAACATGCATACACACACATACACCCTCACTCAAACCACCGCCAAGCCGGCCAAACCTACAGGGAAACTAAGTATTCCAGCAGTGCGTTTGAAATCCACATAATGATAATCTGATAGGTCTCAAGCTCCATCTGCTCTCAATAGTCTTTTATTGTCCGTAATGAGTGGAAATCTCTGTGTCAGCGTGCCCAGCTGTGCTTCTGTCCACAGCAGGATCGCAACGCTAACCTCACATTAGCCTGGAAGCTCATCTGGCTCTCCCCAGGGTTCCTACTGGGTGTCCACTAGCTTACACCCTAAAAATTCCCACCGAATCCTGAGCATCCTTCACGTATAAGCCGAGTCATGTTCGCTCAGTTTTGGTGTAAAAATAATATTTTTTGCAGCAACTCTAAACATAGCTGACCTGAGCATATCCATCGTCACTATGGCGCCTATGGGAGTCTATGTTTTTTAAATCACTTCCTTGTCGAAATTAAGTCGTGCACATTCCATTGACATTCATATTTGGTTAGATCCTCTGGAGGTCATCTCGATTTACAACAAACAAGGAATAGTTGGCCGTTTTGGCACGAGAGATGCACATTTGTTCTGCTGAAGCATTCCTCGGAGTGCCATATTTCAAGCTGTCATCTCTCGCCCATGGAAAACTCATTCTTTCAGGCGTATTTAAAGCATCCACGTCAATGACAGGATTATGAATTTTCCTCGCGATCCTCAGTGAGCCCTAGCGGACTCAGATTGGATGATTTACGTGCTTTCACATTTGCGGTAATTGCTCTCAAATAAGTGGCTTCCTCCAGAAGTGGCCTTTCTGAAGTAGGGGCTCGATGGCTCGTAAAACATACGAATGAGAGTCACTGAATGGCTAATATTTCATATCATATATACTCACTGCGGCCTTTCTTTTCGCAACAGGTTCTACCGAGGAGACTACCACATCGACGTATGCATTAACGATTATTTGGACGTACACTGTCCCCACTACATGGACACGGTCCCTGAGGAGAGAACGGAGCACTACGTCCTCTACATGGTCAACTACGACGGCTACAGCTCTTGCGACCACACGGCGAAAGGTTTCAAACGTTGGGAGTGCAACCGGCCTCACTCGCCCAACGGGCCGCTGAAGTTCTCCGAGAAGTTTCAGCTTTTCACACCGTTCTCACTGGGATTCGAATTTCGGCCAGGCAGAGAATATTACTATATCTGTGAGTATCGTGTTGATTTTTTTTTGTGTGCATTAGTGATTTGTCTCTCAATGATGTTTTAATGGTTTCTGTATCCAAAACCAGACGCTGCGCATGTTAAATAGATTTGTTAGATTGGCTTTCGGTTTATACGTGGAAAAAGTTGCATTGCCTGGAAAAGGATGTTGTATTAGCGTCCTCACGGAGGATAACGCAACTCAAGTCTTAATGGTATACTTTTAAGACAAGTATCTGATTACGAGCATTAAGTAAAAGAAGGCATTGCCAAGTATGACTTTGTTTTTCAGGAGTCTTGGCAAACAGGCTACAAGGAAAGCATGAAGCTCAGGGAAAAACATCTTGGTCTTTCTCTAAAGAGTCTTTGTTACGAACTCCTAGTCTCAGCTTTCGTTTGCTCGTGAGAGGGTTCTTAAAAACAAGCATCTAAACCCATGTTTTTACAACTGGAGTCAGATCCCTACAGGGCAGGAGTGGGAAGACAAAATAAGGCACAGGAGTGGTCCGACACTCAGGGCCGCGATGGGTTCATTTATGCAGGCGCACGCAGGAGATGTGGAGCGTTTGATTTGGCGGAATCCGACCTGATGATCTGACAGATCTCATGGGCGCATGAAACGATGGACATGTTTTTATGAGATGTGAAAGGAAGGAATTGGAGAATGAGGAGGGGGAAGTGGTAAAAACTGGAGATAAGTACATGGAGACTGAGAAAAAAGGCAGATAGGAATGCATGGTACATAGCATTTATGGGTTAGATCCCAGCAGGAGATATGGATGATTTGCATGAATGTGGGTGTCTATCGGAGACGTTGCAACATAGTAAAATTGACTTTTTTTCCTGAAGGCCTGTGAGTAAGAATAATAGGATGGGAAACATCTCGACTGAAGTGATGGAGCTGTCAGATACTATAAAGTGTTTTACAGTTAATGCGAGTTGGAAAACAAGGATTCGTAGCACACATGTCTCACTCCTGTGTGACTCAGTGTCATGATTCAACTGTTACGGGCTCTCTCGAGAGGAGGAAGTTTCTCCATTTGTGCGGAATTACGAGTAAAGGGAACAAAATAAACAGCGTGTCAGTCTGATCAAGTTGAAGCATAGCAGTTTAGAGTGATCGCACAATGTTATCAAGTAGACAGCGGCTTTCAGTAACCTTGATCATATCACTACAATTAGAAATAGAAAGCAGAAGATATTTGAATATACAGGTGCATCTCAATAAATTAGAATGTCGTGGAAAAGTTCATTACCAAGCTATTTGACTAAATTAAGAAATAAATAAATGAATTAATTAATTAATAAAAATGCAATATAAATGGCAAATTAATTTATCTATATGCTGTAGTATTTCTGTTTTTAACAGCTTATGATATATAATAATTTTAAGGGAAAAAAATTTGTCATAGAAAGCAGAAAATATTTGAATATATTTTAATACCAAGCAATTTGAATAAATTAAGAAAAAAATGAATATAATAAAATAATAAAAAAAATAAAAATAATACAATATATATGGTAAATTAATTCATCTATATGTTTTAGTATTTATTTAACAACTATTTTTAACAGCTTATAATATATAATTTTATTGGAAAAAAGATGTCATTGTGATTAAAAAGAAATTATGATTTTTTTTATAAATTTATGGTGTTTGCTGTTACATTTTTACATTATTATTTAAAATTATTTGTAATATAATATGATATACTATTTAATTTTTAACTTATTTTTAGATTTTAATATTTTTTCTATTACTATATAAAATAATTTTATAAATAACATTTTCTGTCTATATGTTTCTTTAAAAGGTTTCTTTTATATATTTAGTAATATATACTATTTAATTTTCAATAATTTTTTTTTACATTTTTTATAATTTGATATATACTGTGTATAAAATAATTTTACAGAATTTGTTTTGTCTGTAAAAACAGTAGTTGCAGTTTTTATATTTGATTTATTTATTTTTTAAATAATTTGATACTGTATATAAAAGAATTATATACATATATTTTTTTTTTAAATACATCATATGTCTTCATTTTTTGTCTATTTAATATTTGAAGCAAGTTTTCCTGAATCATTCTCTTCATTAGTTTGATGTCTGCCTGTCATGATTTGGTTAGACAGAATGTCTTTGTTAGCCGGTGTGGTGACTAATCATTCTGAGTGAGGGGTCGCTCCAGGAGAGCGGAGGGTGACAAGCGCGGTCTCTGTGCTGTCAGTCAGCATGCCCAGCCCACTCAGGAAGCGATCAGGGGGGATCAGAGGGCCCGGCCCCGCAGGTCAAATGTGAACATGCTCTGATGACTGCAGTTGAACTCACAATCCTGAACGGCTCAAGGCAGCATGTTTTTCCAATATGGCCGATGTGGAATTCTGATCTTAATCTCAGAGGATAGAAATCCAATTTCAAGGGAAGGTTTTTAGTCGGCCTCTCCCTCCTGCGCGAGCGGGGCCAACGGCAGTGTAGGCTGTCTGATATGAGCCCGCTTCAAAAGCCCACGACTGCTATTTGTAGTCTAGTCCCTCCATCTTCATAATGCTGTAAGGTAAACCAGAAACATTCCCACTTTGTGCTTAAAGCAAGACCTGATTTGTAGCTTTGATAAGAATCCTGTAGTTTGCAGTTTGCTTATAAGTGGCGTAGTCGCTACCTGAGCCAAAATTATTCCCCGCATTACAAAGCGCTCTCAAAGCACTCTAGAATGGGCGAGAAAAGAGACGGGTGTGCATCTTATCTCAAAGACGGAGCATCAATCCATCTTTCCCTCATTTATCAGACTTCTCGGTTACATCGCATCTGATCTCTCAACCCATAGCTGGAATGGTGGTGTCTGGGAGGTTTATTGCCCCTGGCCGTCTGCAGCTCGGGTGGATCTGGTGTCGGCCGTGTGGGAAAGGAGACGTGGATGAGCAGCCTGGGCCATGAGTGTCTTTGAATAAGCAGGGTTGGTGTAATAGTCTAGTCTTAATGTCTGCCAATGAGAGGTCAGTTACACGCCGCATGCTGACAGCGAGGGAATTCTGATGACTGACAGAATGAGAGTTTGTCATATAAGCGACCCATGAAATCATCCTAATACAGCTGGGACTGTTGATTATTGTCACAGTTTATGTTTAAAGAAATTCGGCGAGAGCCTTGAAATTAGAGATGTGTTTTTCTAGCTGGCATTGAGCATTCATGCAGTCACATTTACAGTAATCAGGGTCCAAAATTAACACACGTCAAGTGCAAATTGCAAGTAAAAATGGGCTTTGATGAGTAAATAATGAGTGACGGGTAACTTTATAAGGAACTGCAACTTAATACTTGGTTGAAGTCGAACTGTAAGAGTAACAGCCTGACCTTGAGCAAACTGTTTACTAAAGAAAACTTTTGTTTTGATTTTTACCTTACGTAACTGACCTTTTCTTCTGCAGAACTTCATGTGGCAACACATATGTGAAATATTTCTTACTTAAAGTGAGAGTCCACACCAGAATTAAAGTTCATTCATCATTCACTCACCAAACATGAGTTTCATTCTTCTGTGAAACATAAAAGATGATCATTGTAAGAATATTAGGGCTTTGTGAAATCCATTACATTTTTTTCCAAATTCTGTTTTTTCCGTTTTAATTTTTCTGGATTACTTTTTTTCCATTTTGGTTCAATTAAAAAATATATTAATCAAAAAGCATGTCTAATTAATTGAAATCATGAATTTATTAAATGTTTAGCAAAAATTTAATTTTTAAGGTCCTATGAAATAAGTTTGATTTTTTTCTCAAATTCTGTTTTATTTTGACCAAAATCTGTTTTGCATTAATTTTTTGGATTCCATTTTAATGGTTTCATTAAATTTTAATAATCAAAACATGTATAATTAATTGATTTTTATAAAAATTTATTTATTATTATTTTATTGACTTCAGTAATGCTGTGTTGTGTATTTACATTTTTCTGGTAAACACCTTTTTCTGGTAAATATTCCTTAAAAATATTGTTTTAATAATAATTTTATTATTAGTAGCAGTGCTATCATGATATATTTCTGTCACAGTTTCTTCAAGTTAAACTGAACATTTATTTTGAAGGGTTGCTGTGAAGACCTTTAAGTTTATGTTTATATATGATATGGCGATTTTTTCTCAAAATAAAGCATAATTTTATTTACCAACAAGGCTAAGGTAGAGTAAATGATGACAGAATATTCATTTTTGGGTGAACTGTCTCTTTAAATGTCAAGAAAAGGAAAATTGGAGCAACTAAATCACGATGGGTTGTCTTCACATTTATATGACAGGTAGCAGTTTAAACTGTGAAGACTGATCTAGTACATGATGCTGTTACAAATAAGCTGATATTTATTTTATATTTGATGTTTATATTATTTATTTCAGTTGTCCTCTGTTTTATTAGTGCTATTTAATAGTAGTTTATAAAGCTATACATTTGCAGGTGAATTGAGTGTTACAGCTTTATACATATTTTAGATTAGACATATCTTATATGAATTTACTTTGTGTAATAAAAACTGGCATAAATAATCTGCGTCATGGTTTTCACTACTAGAGATTTCTTTAGTGTGCAATGTTGCCACTGAAATGCAGAGTTTTGAATGTTTTTCTGTGGGTTCGCTGTGGTTTTCATCAGTCATGAATCCCTGTGTAGAACAGCAATGTTCACTCCTGCACATCTTTCATCTGCAGTCCCCTGTCCCACCCCACATATCCAAATGCCCACTGCGGGATGGCATCCTATTAATGTCTCTGGGCAAAAAGTTAATTTTGGACTCTGACAATACTGATGCACACTCACGCTCGGCAGTTATTTATTGTGGTAGTAGCCAACGATGTACAACGGATTTGTGAAGTGGTGTTTCCAATCAACACTGGGATCCCGCTCCAAACTAGACCAGACTTGAGGAATGAGACAAAAGCAATTTCACCCAAATCAAAGGAAATATGCTTGTGGGGACATGATTAAGGGTTCACAAGCCCCCAGTATGTCAGTGTAGACAGCACATAAGCACATTGATTTAACCCAAGCTCTCCCCACAGTCACGAGGGTGTAGGGATGAGAAGAGAGACAGCAGATTAAGTGCAGCTGGAGACCCCACACAGCAGGGAATCATGGGGGTCAAGGCTAGAAGAGCCATGGTGCATTATGGGAATGTCTGCAAGCTCAGAGATGAGCCAGCCAGCTAATGGGGAAAAGAGTTATAATTCTTTTCTTCCGATATGTCTTTCTCTTGTTTCTTTTTCTTTCCTCTACGGGCAACTGATCCTGTTATAGCTTCATCTTGACACTTTCATGGTGGTTTAAAGTGTTAAAAAGATATATGGGTCAATGACAAGACACTTTTTTAAATCTTTTAATTTATTTTAAAAAGTACTTCAAAATGCATGACTTAAATATAATGACTGTAAAGATCAATGAATCTCTTAAAATATCAGATATTTTGACCTTTTTATAACAAGACTCCAGAAAACGTAATATTGTCTGAGAAATAACAATCCATGACATTTATATAGTAATGAATTATACATAACTTTTACATTAATTTCTACATACATTTTAAATACATCTGAAACCATATTTCTTTACATTACCTTAAATTCATGTGAATAATATATTTATAAAAGTTTATCAAATATATATATATATACAGCGGGTAAAGTAAGTATTGAACACATCACCATTTTTCTCAGTAAATATATTTCTAAAGATGCTGTTGACATAAAATTTTCACCAGATGTCGGTAACAATCCAAGTAATCCATACATACAAAGAAAGCAAAACAAATAAGTTCAGAAATTAAGTTCTGTGTAATAAAGTAGAATGACACAGGGGAAAAGTATTGAACACATGAAGAAAGGGAGGTGCAAAAAGGCATGAAAAGCCAAGACACCAGCAGAAATCTATCAGTAATTAGAAAGCAATCCTGCCCCTAGTCAGTGGAAATTAATTTGAACTGGTTCAGTCCCAACTGATGGCCTATAAAAAGGTGTCTCATGACCAACGTGTCACACAAGAAACATTTCATGATGGGTAAAAGCAAAGAGCTCTCTCAAGACCTTCACAACCTCATTGTTGCAAAACATACTGCTGGCATTGGTTACAGAAGGATTTCTATACTTCTGAATGTTCCAGTGAGCACTCTAGGGGACATAATCCGGAACTGGAAAGAACATAATTTCACCATAAACCGGCCACGACCAGGTGCTCCTCGCAAGATTTCTGACACAGGAGTGAAAAGAATTATCAGAAGAGTTGTCCAAGAGCCAAGGATCACTTTTTGAGCTTCAAAAAGACTTGGATTAGCAGGTACAATTGTTTCAAAGAAAACAATAAGTAATGCACTCAACCGCCATGGCCTGTATGCACGCTCACCACGCAAGGCTCTATTGCTGAAGAAGAATGATGCATTTATATAGCGCTTTATTGTGTATTGCTGTACACCCAAACCGCTTTACAATCATGTGGGGGGATCTCTCCTCATCCACCACCAGTGTGCAGCATCCACTTGGATGATGCGACGGCAGCCACAGGACAACGGCGCCAGTGCGCTCACCACACACCAGCTACAGGTGGAGAGGAGAGAGAGTCATAGAGCCAATCAAGTGAATGGAAGACATTCTTGACCGAGACATTCTTGATTAAAAAAATCTGCTGCCATCTACCAGGATGATGAAGATGAAATGAGGGTGGACATTCCAGTGAGACAATGATCCCAAACACACAGCCAAGGAAACTCTCATTTGGTTTCCGAGAAAGAAAGTAAAGCTGCTAGAATGGCCCAGCCAATCACCTGACTTGAATCCAAAAGAAAATCTATGGAAAGAACTAAAGAAACAGCACCTTTAGAAATATATTTACTGAGAAAAATGGTTCAATACTTATTTTACCCGCTGTATGAATATATATATATATATATATATACACACATTTTATTTAATAAACATTTTATTAAACAAATATGTTTTTAAAAAAGGAAATATTAATTAAAATAAGATGTAAGGAAATGTTACTACTTTTACTACTTGCTACTTGTGACATTTTTAGTGTCATTACACTGAATTTTATATTGAAAATGATATAATTTGATACCAACATAAACTTCTGAGAACTTGCCATATGCATTTCAAAGCCCTTTACTTTTCTTTATCATAGCCACTTATGTTCACTGACCCATATATTTTCTCAACAAACCCAGAACCCTGAACTCATGAGGTTTGACTGGAAGAGTCAGTGTAAGGTTCAGTAGTTCACAGTCACTGGTGATATGGTCTATGAACTGAACAGAAGTCATTTGTATCATCACAGCTGATTACAGAGCTTTTAGTGGCAGGTGTTTCTTTCGGCCTGTGATCTGTCATTTGCAGCTGTTGATGTTACTAGCCGCCAGTACAGCTTTAAGTAGCAGGTGTTGATGTATGTAGTGACCAATCAACATCTAAGAGGCTTGTGGAAAGGTCACAACCAGTAGAGGTTAGGAAAATAGCTTGGAAAGGTTTAGCTCAAATTTGCTGTCCAGTAAAAATTTAAAAAAAAATACTGCTGTTAGTGATGTCTGTGGTCAAGATAATGGTGTTCAATAAATATTTCCTGCCAGTAAACAAATTTAAAGAGAGACTAATTCATCATCCTGCCACTAATGGAGCGTGTGTGCTGTGAACATTAGTCTAAGCTTATTTATCCTGAAGTTTATTGTCAAATAATCAAAATTTCAAGCATCCAACCAGAAAAACAAGACATCCAACCCCTATTTCTTTCCATCAGGAAAGAGTCACAGTGGAATACATGTCCACATCAGTGAAAGCGAGCCTCACCAATTGAATTATCAAGAACATACTGCGTTGGCTATAAGGAAATTGCATTTTGTGCAGTCTGTGCTCATTACATTGAGGCTTTCAAGGAGGGGATGTATTGAAGTGCATTGCATTGCTCATTACTTTGTCACCTTTACGCCCAGTGTGATCTGTGGGTAAAATACCAAGTCTTTCTTTCCCCCTCACCCCACCGGTCCTCATTTGCATCGCTCCCTGACTACGGCAGATTGCATTACGTACTGCATAAAGAGTGGACAGTGGAGAGAGAGAGAGAGATGCTGTCTACCTGTTCTTCTTAAAGTGCTAATGAGCTTTCCTTTATGGAGAGGACAAATTGAGAAACATGGCTCATGGTTGAGATGACAAGGGAAACAGCATAGCCAAAGTAGCACCGCCCGCGTCTATCAGTAAGAAGCCAAATGAATGCTGATTGTGCATTCCTCTGAGGCCAGTGGAAGTATTTAAATGAGGCTTTTGCATGTAGAAAGCCGCAAACAGAAAAGATAGGTAGCATCTGAAGATGTACTGATAGACTAAACCTGAAATAAATGATCCTAGTGGCCTTGAGCCCGTGGAGCTGTTGCGTTGTTACCATTTTGGAAAGCTTGTCAAAAAATGATGGTCATTATCTAACTGCTGCTGGCTAACATTGAGGTTTTGTCTTGATTTAATCATTTGTTTTGGATGCATCAATCAAATTAAAATTGTTTTGCACTGTATGTAGTCATTTTCAAAGAAAAGTGGTGCATGCATTGATAGCTTACCTGGAGTAACATCGCAAATTATATTTAATCGTATTTAAACATGGCGTTAAGTGAAAAATATAATATTTTTATAATAATAATAATAATAATAGAATAATTGGTAACACTTTACAATAACGTGTCATTTGTTAACATTAGTTAATGTATTAACTAACATGAACGATCAATGAACAACACATTTATTACACAATTTATTAATCTTTGTGAATGTTGGTTAATGAAAATACAGTCGTTCATTGCTTGTTCATGTTAGTTCACAGTGCATTAACTAATGCTACTAACTAATGATAATAACTAGTTATTATTATCATTATTAGTTATTAATATATAATGTAGATAACTAAGGTTAACTAATAAACCTTATTGTAAAGTGTTACCGAATAATTTTTATTTAATATTAACATTTAATATAAAAGTGTGAAGGAAATATATATACAGTACATTGTGCCCTATTTTTTATGGATTTGTATAGGCCTGTATTGCTATAAAATAATTTCCCTTTTTTTTTTTTTTTTTACAGGTGTATTTTGAATTTTGCACTTCATTGCATTGTGTTTAGGGTTAACGGAAATATCTGTAAATTTAATGGATAATGTCCTGGCAGAAAATTACCAGTACATTTTCCTTTGTGTATAAATATAATATAACCCAAATCAAAACCAAACCCCAAACAAAGGCAGTTCATATAATAAATACAGATCCATCTTGTGGGCTACTCTTGAAGCATTGTGCACTGTGAATATTGTTGTCTCTTATGATAAATTACTTGTTGTACCTCATTTGTAAGTCACTTTGGATAAAAGCATTTGCTAAATGACTAAATGTAAATGTAGATGAAAATGTTGGCAGTGCATGTAAAAATCTGCACTACTGGCTTGACCAGACAAGTAAAAAAAAAAAAATATGTTATTATATAGATGTTATATATGTTATAGATGTTAAATATATGTTATAGATGTTATGATGTTTAGATGTTATATATCTAAAGCTAAAAAATTACTTTGATTTATTAAACAGTGTGCAGCATGGATCGATTGAGCCTAATATTGACCATCTAAAATGTTTCCACAGCCTCTACAGTCAGTGAAAATGGGAGACGGAGCTGCTTGAGGCTGAAAGTTTTCGTCAGACCTTCAAGTAAGTTTTACAAGCCCCTCAGGAGAGATCCTGGTGTGGCTTCTGACAAAACGTGGTCGCAATTGCAGCATTTATCACTGCTGGAATAGTTCAATGAGTTAAAGATGATGTTACGACCCTGACAACACCCTGTTTTATGTTTCTCCCACAGACAACTGCGAGAAAAGTCATGACCGCATTGTCAAAGTCGATGATGGAAGCATCAACTCTATAGAAAATAATAATGGTTCGTATTGTATGCCAAAGTCATTTCCATATCCAAAACTATCAGTAAGGTCAAAATGTTTTTGCATACTCGGGTATTACAGACCTATTTTAATCTTCTGTTTCTTCCTCCATTTAGACGGAACGAGTCACGAATCTGCCGAACCATCCCGAGGTGATGTCAACGGCGCCGGAAGCATTCAAACTTTAGGGCCCTTGTTAGCCTCAGCGCTGGTTCTTTTGGCTTCCCTCTCCTGCTTATAGCATCCCGCATCCCTGAAATACACAGGAGGACTCGTGATCGAGCACTTTTAAGAAACATTGAGATCTTTCTCTCCGCTAAAAAGTAGTTTCTCGCACAGGAAAACGCTCCTTTGGCGATATAACTGGAAGGTTTTCAATGAACAAAAGCCCCACCCACAGAAAAAAAAACACAAAAAAAACCCCACTAGGTCTGTGTCCTTTCGGTGCCCCTATGTGACGTTGGAGAGGGACTTGTAATTGGGGACAGAGCAAGAAAATGACTCTTTTTCAAATGACAAAGACCGCTTTCAGTGTTGCCATCCAGAAAAGAGAAGTCTTATAACAGAGCAAGAGGACTGTCTGAGGGATCTCTCCACGAGCATTGTGGGAAAACGTCGTCACTATGGACTCAACTGCTGACTCTACTAGAGATCAAGGCAAACTGTTGCCTGATAGCATCCCTTGTAAAGAGGGAGAGCAGGGAGCTTTTTAATATCTCAACCGGAGTAGTCCACATGGACTCAGGTGCTCAGGTGAACGGTGACAATTTTTGAAGTGTTTTCGTAGATAAAGGAAAAAGATAAGCACTCGTTTTGTACATTGTGTACAGGTATACATGGGACTGAAACGCAGATGTGGTGTTCTTGAAGTAAAATGCTCAAGTGTAGCTGCCAAAATCGATGTGTTGTTAGGAGTACGGAGCATCACCGAACGATCGTTTGAGTGAATATACTAATTTGTTTGGTGAATCATCCTTTTCTTATTTATTGTTCAGTCTTAGTGCTCTTGACACTTTGTTGTACTAGTCATCAGCCAGGATTCAGGAGAAAGGAACACAAATGCCTAGCTGCAGTCAACTTACCTTGATTTAGACGAATAACAACAGCATAACTTATGATAATGGGTTAATATTTTAGCAAGTCAATCCTTGAAATGATATCAGGGGGAAAAAAACCAGTAGTACGTTTCCATATCATATCCGTCAGGGGTCACGTCGCTCCTTAAAGGGGTCCATTATCATGGATAGGAGGAGGAAATGGTTTTGCATTCCTTTTGTAAATGCTTCCTGTCTTTTTACCCAAGAGTAATCAAAATGAACAGCATTAACATTTTAATTCGGTCAACAAAATGAGCTCATACCTTGCCAATTGAATTGTTAGTTATGTAAAAACTATTTTTTCTAAGCATGAAGTGAAAGTAATTAAATTATTTTCCTCAAAACGAATTCTCACATGGATTTTCTTTTGTCAAAGTGCATTTCAACCGTGCCGTTTGTATTTATTTACTTTTTTAACACGGAGCCGTGCACATTAAACGCTCATCTGGGATCTACTGAAACAGTAGCGGAGCGCTGCTTCCACCCCGGTGGCAGCTGACACACTAACGTGATTTAATAGGCTCTTTGATGTTGTCCAAAGTGCCTGGCACACAGACCACATACTGCGAGGCCTCATGTGGGTTATTTCTGGAATTAAAAAATCGACAGCAGCACGGGAGGAGCGCGGTGTCCAGTTTAGCCGTGGGCTAGCGTTACTCTGGTGAACTTGGCCAGAGATGGAGAAAGATGAGATCTCCTGCTGGGATCAATAATGGCCTTTACAGACACAAAGCAGGGTAAATATTTTTCCCCTGGTCCTGGTTTTCCTTTCTTGAATGGTTTTCATGTTTTTCATTCTCATCTACTTATCGACAGTTTGGTAAGCAACATAAAGGTAGCTTTTGACTTTATGTGGTTATGTTTGGCTAGCTACTATGGTTCTTTTAAAATTATAACATAGGAGCACATGGATCCTATGGATGCTATGTATCCGTACGTTGTTTAGCATATCATATAGTGATTTGGAACCACTGGTACAAAAGAAATAAGAGATAAATGAGGAGCTAAGAAATAATCCAGTCTGAAAGTAATAATATCAAATACATTTGTTAATATGTTTTAAATGTACTTGTTTTTATTTTGAGTAATATTTAATGGTTCAGTATCCATAAAGACAATTAGGAATTTGTGCTGGTCAATCCTTAAAAACACTGCTGTATTGTCATTGCTAAATCATATACTTAAAAACCCATCTACATTTTTTTTTAATCTCCTGTGGAACATTTTAAAGTCTGCAATGTTCTGTTGTTGCACCACGAAAATAAATGCTGTCGTCCATTTATTGTCATGAGAACAAACCTAGAAGGCCATTTTTAGTAGGTTTAAATTCAGGAAACATTTTTGTAAAATGACTGCAGGATCTGTTTTTGTCCATATGCAAAACTTGAGGTTTTAAGGAATGAGGTCTTGTTGAACCTGGGTTTTTCACCACAAGGCAGTTGTGTTCCTGTATTCTCTTATCGTCTTTGTCCCAGAGAATATATCTTCAGCGTTAGACATAATTTCTTCATTCTTTCCGCACCTGCTTCTTCATAGAGCTGTGAAGACCATGATATATAAACCACCATTTCCTTAGCTTCTTGGCTGTGTTGCGTGAATATTAGACATTTGCTGTGACGTCTCTGACGGTCCAGTGCTGACTTGCATTATGATATGACACGTTTTTATATCTTCAAATGCCATTGTTTGTAAATACACTTGCTGGAGCAGCTCAAATAAATGATTAAATAAATTTGTCATTGTTGTAAGAAACATCTTCCGATGTCTTTTTTTATGTATTCTGATTTAAGATATCAGTATTATTCAATAGGTTACGATACAAGGGCTGATGGTATTTATTCTTCCTGTATTCTCTCATCGGCTTTGTCCCAGAGAATGTTTCTTCAGTGTTAGACATAATTTCTTAATTCTTTCCACACCTGCTTCTTCATACAGCTGTGAAGACCATGATATCTAAACCACCATTTCCCTTAGCTTCTTGGCTGTGTTGCCTAAATATTAGACATTTGCTGTGACGTCTCTGACGGTACAGTGCTGACTTGCATTATGATATGACACGTTTTTATATCTTCAAATGCCATTGTTTGTAAATACACTTGCTGGAGCAGCTCAAATAAATGATTAAATAAATTTGTCATTGTTGTAAGAAACATCTTCCGATGTCTTTTTTTATGTATTCTGATTTAAGATATCAGTATTATTCAATAGGTTACGATACAAGGGCTGATGGTATTTATTCTGAAGTGTTTCAGGTGATAATACAATTAAAATAACATTTTCTTAGCTTTCCAATGATCAGTGTGCAAATATTCTTCTGCAGCAAATTTCAGCAGTGTTGTATGATTTAGCTGAGCCTTAAGAAACCTGCACAGTTTTGGTTCAAATCCTTATTAAACAGAGAATTATACCAAGGCACACATGGATTTCTGATAACTGATTGTTCTATGAGTGAGGGATAGAAATGGTAACATTTGCCCATCATTATTATTACACTCAGGAGTCAATGAATATTAATGAACGAGTGCACGCTCTTGGGCATTGGCCAGTTTAAACAAGAATAGGCTTGAGGGAGATTGCTTGGTGACATGGTGTTGAATGGTGTCTAGTGTTCTCATTGTTTTGCCTCTAAATAGCTTGTGCCTTGTTCTATTTCTGCCCCCTGAACTTTGGAACAAGCCAGACAGAATGCTGTAAAAAAAAAAGAACAACTGAAATCTATTCCACACTATGCATTTCAGCAATTTCCTGCTTTTCACCTTGAGTGGTGAGACATAAAATAGATTATTATTATTACATGTAATTATTGTCATCATTTATATGCTTAGTTATGGTTATTGTTTGTGATAAAAAAAAAAGTAAACTATCCAGAGAACCAACGCATGCTGGAAAATGCATTGGCCTTCAAAGCGCAATGTGCCCACTTGTTAGCCTTTAAAGTGAAGGATTGGTTTAAAACAAAAAACAAAAGTGTTTATTCATCCTTTTAGAATTATATGCAAATAGGTTCTTGGTTGCTAAGGAACTGTAAAGAAAAGATTTACCTCTGAACTCTGCTCAACTAACTGATTTTCTCTAAGCGAAATGAGGCTGGATAATGTATTGAAGCTCCTGCATGTTGTATTTGCACACTTGACCCATGTTCTTTAGGTCATATGAAGCATTATCCTCTGAGGAAAGAGATCAGTGTGTGAAAATGTAAAATCTCAGTGTAAGGAATTTATGGAAACAAAATATTTTAGTGGCCAGCTTACTTTAATTCTAAAATGAAACAGTGTCTGGCTTTATTTGCAACCCCATTCAGCTTTCTAAAAATAACTGCACTACAGCTGAGAGGATTCATTTCTCCTTTCATACAGGGAAAGCCTGGGGCAATGTGATATTTCCAAGGCCAGAGATCACGCAGAAAATAAGGCCCAGGGAGTGACCTTATACTTTCAAATTGTATTAATGCGAAGCCAAGCCTCCTTGACCATGAGACAAACAGCCTGCATGGAAAACAGAAGAGACAGAAGACCTGAGAAATTATACGATTACAGGTATTTCACGGAGAAAGAAACGCAAAAGACACATCTGAATCCAGCGAGGTTTAGCTTTTGTTTGTAAAATAAAATGTCCAATAGAGAAGCTGAATAGAGCACATTTGTTTATAAAATGCCCCCTTTTGAAATGTATTTTAAGCAACTTCTGACTGCATTTAAATCATTTCATTGGTTATATGTAAAGCTCATGTTAGAGCATCAATTTCCTGAAGCGGTGTTTATACTTCAGCTTGGCGCGCTATGAAAACTTCGGCTTTGCGCTTTTAACGTTACGTAACATTTAACCTAACTATGTTTTCACACTCCCTCAAAAATACACATAAGCTCCGCCCCTTTCTACACATTCGGCCAGTGGGATTGAAGCGTCGAGAGCGGAACTCTGCACGAAGTACCGGAAATGATCAAATGACACCATTGTTTGCGCGCGGAATGCGTCTAATAATAACTAATAGGTAGCCTACTTTAACATACATAACGCTGACGCTGTCTGTTTATTCATTAACAGACCGGGAATTGGGGTAGCAAGGCAAGTTCCCTTTATATTTTGAGCACAGCCATGGAACATAGTTTGAGACATGACTCTTGTTAACATTACCTGAAATTTTACATAATGAGGTTAAATATAAACTAAGGTAGCCTACATTGACATGTTTATTTAGCAGATGCTTTTACCCATGTGATATGACAGTGTTCTTCATCAGTCATTGAGTCCACCATACTAAATGTTCTTGCTAAGGAAAATATCCTAATAAACAATTACAAGTCCTAATTAACAATTAAAACAAATGCATGAATGCTTTAGATGTGGGACACAATGTGGCACGTAGAACAGGTGAGCAGGAGAGCGCCGCAGGCATCTGTAGCAGTTGTCACAGACAGTGAGAGGCCCTTGGGAGCACCTGGCTGATTACATACAGATCCCACTGGGCCGGTTCAGCGACAGGACAGCTCAATTACAGCAGTAAGCAGAGACAACAGAGTGAAATTAAAGCTGATAAACAGGACAGTGTCATATGCGGGACAGGAAAGAGAGCGTCTGAGCGTGTGTGTTCAGGGGTGAGGTGAGGGAGATGTCAAACTGCTCTCGGGAGAGAGCTGCCATGGGAGGTCTTGTGAGCAGATGCATGCTGGTGTGTTTGCTTGAAACTGAATGAAGTGTCTTAACCATGCTCTCTAGAAAGCGTCAAACACCAAGGGCGGTATAATTAAGTCAATTGCTCTAAGTGTGTTAGAGGAACATTATCCTGTCTGGTCCAGGCTCTTATGGCTCTGTTGTGGTCTGTTGAGGTTCTGCTTACCATCTCCTTTGTACTGGCTTTGTATGGGCTGAGAGGTGTGCCTTTTCTTTTGCAGTATATATGATGGAATCAAGTTACTTTTGTTAGTTTTAAGCAGCAAATAGCTCTGCTTACTTTTTAATCTCTTAATCAGTTTAATTTAGATATAAAAAAAAAACACATAAAAAAATCAGATCCCTTAAGTGAACTCAAAAGTAAGCTTAGTGAAAAAGGACCCAGTTATTTTTAAATTGATCTCTGACCTTGAAAGTGGACTCAGAACTCATTTTGGCCATTCAAGCTGTGATATGGTCCATTATATAACATTAATATACCAGCGTGGTAAAAAAAGAAAAGCTGCATCCCAAATGACGCACTATAAACTATGCACTTATAGACTATGTACTTATGCACTATGCTCAATACTGTATAAATTATATATGGTTATTTTGTCATTCATAATCAGAGTCTGGTAGCCACTCCCCCTTCGCTACGTAATTAAAGCTGCGACAGTTGAGTGCATGAAGTGTCCAACATTCCACACTTAATTTTTTCGGTTATTTAAGTGCATCATCCGGGTATTTAAAGTGCACTTTTTCTTTTTGGAATTTTCAGTGTGAACGCGCAACTCGCACTATTTATACTACAAAATGTCATAGAATAGTGCATAAGTACGCGATTCGGGACGTGCCTACATTTTTTTTGCAAATGACCATGCAAAAACTCAAAAAAATGTGTGATCACATTTTCACAGGCATAACTTAGTTTATGATAGTTATGATAGTTTATGATATCATATCATAAGGCAGTTTTATACAGTTATGTTTGTAGATATCAGTTTCAGAGGTTATCAAACTTGGAATTAGGGACTCCCAATGGGGTGCAAGGGGTTTATGGAAATTTATTTTTAGGACTGTAAAAGGTAATGGTGAATGATAATGATATTTTAATTTTCATTTCAATGATATTGGCTATTGATATTTATTGTGAAAAGTGCTATGCAAAAAATAAATAATAAATAAAATAAAAAAAATTCAAATGTTTGTCTTCAGGTTTCTACATATCTAATAGTGGGTAGAACAAAAATATACATTTGATGTACAAAAATCAATATTTTTAGATCATATTCTAATAATTTGAGATAGATAGATAGATAGATAGATAGATGAAGTCCCTTAATTCCATTTCAAAATGCATACCTTTGTACCTTTCCCCTTAGGGGTGCATAGTAGTACCTTAGAGGTACATATTATGA